TGTTAAGATGACGAAATGTACCTTTTTCTGCTTCTTTTGGGTTCCTTGTTCTCTGATGGATTGGCTTTCAGCAGCTTCATGGGCTTCCCTGGCAACGTCCGTTTGCGCCATCTCCAGGTTCCGAAGGTCTTCCTTTTCAGTCCAAGACGGAAAACGTGGGGTGCTCCAAAGGCTAGCGGTATCATCAACCACCAAGTTGATGGCGCTTGAGTATACTCCCTTCATTAGCCCCGAGGATTTCTCAAGGTGTCCCTTTGAGCCACGCTTGGAGAGCTCGCGAACATGGCCAGGAGCAGACAAGACTGTCGGGTTTGCCGCCCCTAATTCCAAAGATTTCAGATCCCTACCGACCAGGACTTCGAAGTTCACAGCAGCGCTGGTTGAAAAAATCACCTGCGATGCAATTTCGATTATCCAAGTGACGCTATATGGATCCACTTCAAGCGACGACCGCGAGTCTGGCAATTCTGCAGGTCTCTCCGGCACTGAGATTACAGCGTTAAAAGACCCACCAGCCTTTAGATTTGGTTCAAACTGTGGGACGCCGCGGGTTTCGTAGTCCTCGTATTTCTGGTTGGGGTTGAAAGACGCAGGGTAACAGGAGGTATACAGAGTGTAAGGCCCATGTAGGTAGGCTGCACGCAGCGGGATTGCAGATGTATTTCTAGCTCTGACAAAGAGCTCCGTAGGGGTGGGGTGGATATGATCCGCGGAAGGGGTGTATGTAAGAGTAAACCTGATCGTCCCGCATGAGCATAAAAATAATAAATAATTTTGGCAAGAGAAAATAATTTTAAGCAAGAGAAACCGGGAACATCCATACCGGACAACTTCGCCTATGCGGACGCTGCCAATCTGGTGGACCAGCAGCATATCAGCGGCTCGTTTGTATTCCGCCGGCCCAACGTCCCAGGAAGTCAGGGAATGGAAGTTAGGGTGGTAGGATGGCGACGCGTGTGAGCCGTTATTTGGGAGTTGAGATAGCTGATAGACACGGGGAGTAACAAGCATCGGGGGGACCTTGCAAACCTTATAAACCGCCTCGATGACGTTGTCCAGGAGGCCTCGGGGTTCGGGGTCACCGGCAGATGCATCTGAAATCGAGGCGGCCAGGAATATAGGACTAAGCTGATGATAATATGCTGGCGGGCGTTGGGGGGGGGCGGGCGGACAGCCACCTCTACAAGTCCAGGGAGGGGCAACTTGTAAGGCAAGTACGGTAACAACGACGCTGCCAGCAACAGTATCTGGTCCCTGCCATGCCTGCGCGCTGGCTGTGCTAAGGGGGTGGATGCAGGGACAGAAGAGCAGAAGACGAAGCACGAGGACAGAGCTAGAAGTTGAAGTTTGAGGGTGACGAGCGGCGGCGGAAGTTAATTATCAGTTAACCAGTTAACTGGGTTAACTTGGTTGTTGGTTAGTTGGGTTAGTTGCCAAGTTACCATGTGATAGTTTATGTAATCAGATGGGAGGGTAGAGGGTAACGTTAACTGGTTGGTTAACAACTTAACAACGGTTGGTTAACTCACCTGGTGAACTTGTCAACTCACCAACTGGTCAAACTAACTTAGTTAACTAGTGATTAACTAATTAATCGTTAACAGAATCCACAGTTGACTAGTTAACCAGTTATCGTTTTGAGATTGGATCAACAAGAAAACTGTTTAGACCGGATCGTGTATTTTTTACCGAGAAGCTTCTCGAGCGGAAATTCTGGAATTGTTACCAGCAGGTCTCAAAAAATAAATCAACTTTTTAATAATTATCAGCTTGCTCTAGTTTAGGTTATCTCTCTGCTAGTGTTTTACTACCAATAAAATAAAGATAGAATACTCTTTAGTTTCCTTTTCGTGTTGGAGAGTTCAACTGACTTTGTGTTCCCAGGCATCCGAGGCATCTTCGATGTGGAGAGAGAGATTCATGGGTAAAGCAGCTTTCTTTTTAACTACGACTGCTGCTTCTGATTCAACTGCACCAGTCTCATCCGAAGAAGAAATCCCATATTGTTTTAGCAATCTCAGTACAGTTAAAAAGGAGCTTGGTGCAAATAGTCTTCAACTGCCGATCAATATTCACGTTGTTGAGCTGATGTTGAACGTTGAATCGAGGGAGTTGAGAAAACGCGTATTGTGGCGTGCGCTACGTAAACTTAGATGCCGTCCGTTCCCTTCCCGCCGCCCCAACATGACGCCCTGTCACTCCGCTCCTCCGTCGTCGGCTCCTCCGCCCCCACATCTCTAGATCAAAGAGTAAGAAGAATGAACTCATGCAGCACGGATTTTCAGCCAGTATATCCATCCCATGCTCTGTTCACTCTCTTCGGTCGTCAGCCGCCCATCTCCGCAATCGCAAACAGCCTTCAAAAGCATTCAGCTAGCTACTTTCCAAAATCCACACTGTCATGAATGCCCCCCCCCCCCCCCC